CGATAGTTGTGAACACGGTTCCGCAGTAGAACATGGCGCCCCAGAAGGTCCACAGCTGGCGCTCGGCGTCCGTGGTTACGCCGGCCTGACAGAGAGAACGCATCTGCATCTCGTACTCTTGCAGCCGCCGCAGAGCCAGCCGCCGCCACCGGTGCTCGTCAGTCGTCCCGCAGCTCCGGCGTAGCTCATCCATGAGGAGCCGACGCACCTGAAGCAGTTATGGTGCTTCAGCATTCGTATCTGAGACACGATGCTCAAATCCAAATGGATCGTAGGAAGGAAGGAACGCGAATTGACTCAGCAAAAGTTTACTTAATCGACCACTGATCATTCGAGATTATCTTGGCGCTGTAACATACGACATTTTGATACCCCAAAATTTATTACGGCTCAGTAACACACATAAAACTTTCATATAAATTAACGTGTATGTTAATTTTTTATTTTAATTATTTTAACATGATAAATATTCATTAGAAATTTGGCACACACATCACTTTAGTCTTGACAAATACAGGTAAGGCCCTGATTTTCTTTATTGGGAATCGTTGTTGGGGAAATACAAGCTTGAAGCATGATTCGGTCTATTCATTACGACTAGCTCTCCAGCCAAGATGAACATGGATCTATTTACAACTGAAATTGATAAATGGATGCTTTTACAGTGCGCTTTTTTATACGTGACTGTTTCCTTATTTCGTATTAGTTTACAGGAAAAGCTGTTGTGAGATCGCAACAGGGGCTGCTTTGGCACCGCAGTTGTCCGCCGCCGCCACCGGCGTATCACCATCACTTGAAAAAAAAAAAAATAAAAAAAGATACTGAGATTAGACTGGGATTCGAACCCGGGTCCTCTCCGCTACAGCCTCTTCTACTACAGAACCATGCAGGTTTTTTGCTTTATTGCTTATTCCCTGACACTATGTACATGAAACATTACGTAAAGATCACGAAAAAAAAAAACTGGTGGCAGCTCGAAACTCTGTTGCAAAAAAGTCACCAGGCCGGCGCGCAACATGCAGCACAGCCGCAGCGAAAGCTGGAAGAGCGACATTGCAAAGCCATCTTTCAACACTTTTTGGGTAACTGCTGCAAGCCCACTTGCAGGGTACCCACTACGCCATAAATAATCATACTTTTTGTGTGGAATGGAGGCATTCATTATGCCATTCTTCGTCATTCTGCGAAGAAGCGTGGTACCCACTAAGTACTTGCAAATAATTTCACGACGTTTTTGGTGTTGTGGCTGACGACGATGAAAAATTATGCCTGAACCTTTTGTAATGGATTCGAACATTCGACGAACCACTCGATATACATGGTTGTTCCTTTGCTGTTATAAAATGCTTTACTATTAATAATTGCGCGATTCCTTTCATGACATCAAGCCTGCCTATAGGGTCAGTTTGCAACGGAGTTTCAAGCTACAATGTGGCTCTGTGGTAAAATACCGGGCTGGCACGCACGGTATCCGGATTTGAATCCCATTGTGTCCGAGGCGTTTTTTCTTTACTTAGTTTTTTTTTTCTTATTTCGCGCGATAGTGGTTACAGATATCGGTGGCAGCGGTGGTGGACAACTATACGGCAGACGTGACCCTTGCAGTGATCTCACAGCACCTTTCACTGTAAAATATCCTGGAAAATTCTAATGTCGGGAATAAAAAACGTTAACGTATGCAATATGGCGTGATATAATGGTAAAATAACAACCATTCGTCGCACATTGACGATTCTGTTCGCAGGCGTCACGCAATACCAACTACGTAATGAATGGGTCGCTGAACGTTTCAGACCCATTACAAAAGGCTCAGCCGCAATTCTTCATTGCCCAGCCACGGTGGTCTATATACTGGCTAAGGTACTCGGCTCCTGACCCGCAGGTCGCGGGATCAAATGCCGGCTGCGACGGCTCTATTTTCAATGGAGACGAAAATGTTGTAGGCCCATGTTCTCAGATTTGGGTGCACGTTTAAAAACCCCAGGTGGTTGAAATTTCTGGAGCCCTGCACCGTGGCTTCTCTTATAATGATATGGTGGTTTTGGACGTCAAACCCTGCATATCAATCAATCAACCAAAATTTTTCATTGTCATCAGCAAGTGCGCAGGATTTCAATGTTTGAATAGCAACCTTAACTTTGATACCACGATGGTTCCTCTCATTAAACACTGCAAGACTCGCACGACACAAACACTCCCAAACATTGCCTGAATACTCTAAGAACACAAACTGCCTCAAATACTCTTATATTATTCTTGCCGTTAAAGAATGGAATGAATTAGATAAAACGATCACTGATTGCAAATCCGTACACACTTTTGTAACTTCGTTGTAACAGCCCCACAATGATTCAGTTGCCGTTTTGTTGTCGTTTTCCTTTTAGAAATTATACTTTACTTAGCAGTGTTGTTGTCCGAACAGTATATATCAATCGTTTTATTTTTACCTTTGGATTTTCTTTTTTTTAAACGAGAATTGTAGATTTCATTGTAATAGTGTGCTTATTTTAATGTACCTTACTGTCTCTGCTGCGTGTTTTTTTTTTGCTTATGTGTACGTATTTTAGGACGCTAATAATTGTTCGCAGAACTCTCATTTTTTCACTGTTCAAGTTGTTACGATTTTTTGTGCCGTCCTTTTTTCCCACTTTTTTCTCATTTATTTTTTTATTTCTCTATTACTGGGGTTACAAGATTACATTGTAATACTACCCTTAGTGTACTCCTAAATGCACTGGTTGTGGCTCAATGTGTCTTTTTCCCCCGTTCATATTTTATTGCACGTATTTGTAAATGCGCATTATCGTGCGAAATATTGACACTTTTTTTACTGTTCCAGCTGCTGTGGCCATCTGCGGAAGCTTTTGAATAGTTCATGCAGCAGTGTCGAGGTAGTCTTGTCCTAACAAGTTTTCAGTGTGATATTCAATTTTTGTTCTCTTTTTTATAACTCCTTTATGTGACACTTCAACACGTGATCCTCCTGTAATGATTCCGAATGAGGTAGGCTGGATTGTTAAATAAAAAGTAAAACAAAATAAAATAAAAAATATCTCTCAAACGCGTAGTGGCTACCATGCCTTCGCTTCCCTGCAGAAGTTATAAGTAATGACGTAGTGGGTAGCCTGCAAGCGTAACTGTATTAAACTCCAAAAAACTTTACAGCTGGTTTTTGATATACCACTCTTCCGGCTTTCGCTGTGACTGTGCTGCGCTTTCCACGCAGGCATGGCATTTTTTGCCATTTTGTTTCATTTGCCCTGATATCAACATAGATAGCTCCAGCTCTCTTTATCTTACTAATAAATGTGCACGTGTTTATCATAATTATTTGTCCAATTTCTTTTTATTGATTCAACTCCAACCAACAGTTAATAAGTTGATTTCTATATCAACACATTGAGCCTGATTTTATTAACAATCACTTCTGTTTTGGTTAGTGACTCGAATTTCTAGGCATTTAAGGTAATTATTATTTTAAGTAAATACTGAAATTACACCAGTAAAGCATTGAACGGGTCGATCAATTGATCATTTCCAGCTTACAATTGTTCAAGCGCAGGTAGATCACTTTAAACGAAATGGCCTTCATTTGCTCACCTGACGGAGACCCGTCTTCGCGCGTGCTTCGTAGGGCCCTTCCAGGTAGCGGAACGCAAGGGCGCCGAGCATTGCATAGGCGGCCAACAGGACGAGCAGGAGCACATGTGTGAACCACCGCTGGGAGATGGCGTGGAGGCGCTGGGCCACGCGCACGCCCCAGGACCGGCGGGCCGACAGCGTCATCACGTGCATCGGGCTCACCACCACCAATGGCACTGGCTCCCGCGCAGGGGTCTCACCGTCCGCGCCGACCATGGCTACAAGGCCTCAACAACTACCACCGGGGCAACCTGCATCTGTGCCAACAGCAGTACAACACTGTCGGCGCTGCAGCATTTGGCACGCTGAAAGTGAGATTCGAGATCCGCCTTTGGTCGCCGGCGGTAGTGTTAGAGGTAGGCGGACTTATACGGGGAATATGAAGCACAGTTTGAACCGAATTTAAGGTTATTCACATTTCCACAGGACATCGTCTTAAACAAAAGTGTTGGGACTAGCAAGGTTACAACTTCGCAAAACTTTTTGCAAAGTCCACTTGCCGTAAGCAGTACTGTCCTCGTTGGATATCGCACAATCATTGGCTTAAGCTGCGTGTGATATATGCAATGTGTAACGAGTGGTTCTGTTAAGCTGCGGTGATTTTTTTGTTGTTGTTGCTGTGTTGAAGTATGAATTGTGTAACAGTGCTCGGTCCGTCACAAAAGTTGTACGCGATATTTTAAATAAGGAGCGAGCTAGACCAGAGAGCTGACGGGCCTTTTCTTTTTTTTCCTTTCGTCACAGCGACCAAAAGGGCGAGATAGAGAGAAAGTAAAAAAAAAAAGGGGGGGGGGGGCAACTGACGAAGGAAAACAGTGTACCCCATTAACCGAACGGTAATAGGCATTCGGGCAAGTCGCAGTGTCTCGGACCTGCCAGGAAGAGTGTGCTTTGGGCACCCTCGCTTTCGCTGGGGCGCATCGAGGCACTCTATACAGAAAAAAAATGATGTCAGTCACTCTAGCGGGCTAATAGAAGCACTGTAAAAAACAGATTTCAGTGATTACTATAACTCATTTACTTCAACGGGCTTCTAGAGCTAAGTCCTCATCAATTGAAGTACAAGTTCTTTGTGGACTACGTCACAGAGTGCGGCCTTTTGTGGTTTCCGAAAGACATGCACGGTGGCCACCACGATCGTATTCCGAGTAAGGCTCAACAGCTCGCACAAATTACTAAGCTCTATTTCACGCGAGATCGTACTGCATGGTCAACGCGCCCCGTAGTAATGCGCATAATTCCGAGGGTTCACGAGTTCGAGTCATGTTGACGGATGAATTTTCGTTTTACGAACACTTGTTTCTATACCCAATGCGTGTTTTCTATACAATGGTTAATATGTAGCACAACTGTCTAGGCTGTTAGGTATAATGTGTTATGTACTTAGAACCAGAGACGTACACATATGTCTCGGGTCCTAATCTGCGACCATACGCACGCCGTAGTACGTCCCACGTCATGGATCTGCCATTCTTGACTGTCTACGCCTTATAGTAGCGTCCACACTCATAGAAAGAAAGAAGGGGCCATAAAGGCTTGTTTTTTTCTTGTTGTCATGCAGAACCTTACAGAGGACTAACAGACAGTAAACTAATGTATAAGAGACCTTATTTGTAGTAGTTGTGATGCAAGTGTGAAGAAACTAAAGCGGACTAAAAAACAACTTGCCGCCGGCAGTGACGAAACCTAAAACATTCGAATAACAAGTGCAATTCTCTGTAATTAGTGGTGGGCGTCCTTCCGCATAATTTATGGCATAACTGTGTGCATTTAAACCTGCCAGTGCCAGTCAGCGCTGCTTGTAGCGATGGTAATATGACGCGAATTGATGCCAGCCACTGAAAAAAGAAAATTCTCACCGTAGTCACTTTACAAGCACCATCGTCTAGCACTATCGTACCCGGACTAAGTACAGAAATATATCCGAGAATAGGGCACGCCAGAACGACCCCCGCTGTAGGTCAATCGTATATATAATCGGACGCGTTATTTGAAGGTTGCATGCCGGTACGGTCACTGCCGGTTTCCGTCCGCTTTAATTACTTCGCACTCACATCATAATTTCCACCAATAACGTCCCCTATATTTTATTTGGATGGATCGTCTTTTAGTTTACATTGAAGTTCCCATTCATTGCCCCCAGACCATGCTATTGCGGCCACGTAACGCCGTCTTAGCGCTCCTTGGGTTAGTCTCCATGTGTTTGCAGTGCCTTTCTTTCTGCCTTCGTATGGGTATCTGCGCGAAAATCTCTCTGTGTTGGACAGTGATGGCTGTGCACGGAGCTTACACTTATTCTCAGGTTGTAGCCGTCTACAGTACATAGAACAACTGTAATGCAATATATAGGAAATTCAGGATAGTAGTGAAGACGCTTACTGTTTTCATTCGGAGTGGCAGAGGACGGCGCCGGCTAGCTGGGCAACGATGGTGTCGCCCACGCACATGTCCGCAACGCCGTCGGAACGCCGCTCTCTTCGTGGCGCGCCAATACCGTTGCCCGGAGCTCGGGCCGCGCGCTCTGGCGTGCGCAATATTTAGCGGCACGCGGGCGGCTGCACGCAAGATGGTCGGCCTCAGCTTCCTCATTGGAGGCCCCCCCTCCGGGGTGCCGCGAAAGCCCGGGTTCAGCCTCGGGCGACTTCGGGCATCGCGGCAAACGAAAACAAACAACGGGACGTGCGAACGCGGTTACTTATCTGGACGCCATACGCGGGCTCAGACTTTCATATTGGCCGCTTCTAATAGCCCTGTTAATAGCGATCTTTAGATCGGAGACAGTGCCTCCAACCTAAATATACACTTGAAACCTCTGATAGGGCTCCCAGGTGAGGTCCGACATTGTTCACCCCACTCGAGACGTTCTCGATTAGGGAGATTAGAAAGGAGCCCGAGCTTGCGTTGAGGATCCAACATAAGTATTGATTCCCTTGTATTCTGTTATTAGCCTTGACACAGTGGCAGCCACTGAATAAATTTTAAATAAATATATATTGCTAGCTGTAGAATGGTCAATCATACATATCAATACAGTTTCCAGAAATGAATGAATGAATGAATGAATGATTGAATTAGTAATGAATTTATTGCGAAATTGTAGTTAAAGAGAGGACAGGGTGGGTCGCTATTCCGGGACTCCGTTGGGTTGTGCTGCACTCTCTGGGATCTCAGAAGATTTAGTTTCTCCAGTTTCGTTGCTATAAAAGATATGTAGACACCTTAAAGTGCCACTTTTAAAGCAACACATGTGAATATTACGCTATATCTTATGATGATACCATAACAATTCTAGGGAGACATATGTGGGTGTATTAACGGGACAAAGAAAGTGTGCACACACAAAATATCTATTATTTTAGGTATGTTCCGATACGCGCGATACTTCAAATTTAGTTTTATAAAACTTCACTTACACAAAAATAGTTAAAATTTGAAAAATAAGCTAGTTTACTTCATAAGTGAGGGGGATACTAACTGATTATTTCACGAAGTAAAGTACTGCTAAGTTTGACACACAATTTTTATTTAAGACTTCAAGTTGCTCTTAAAGGCAGGCCAATAAATACATGTGCCCGCTTGTATTTGCATGTTGCTCATAAAGAAAAAAAGTAAAAATACAATTATTTTTTGAGAATATGCGAGCTGCTGCTCAGTATTTTTGTCCGAGCTTCCTTCTCAACAAGTAACAAGAGTCATGTTACAGTTTTTCCGACGTGCGCTGTAGTATTGCACGGGAAGTTTATTGAAATACATATTTGTCCGAGAATTCGATTTTTATGTGCATGTTGTTTGAAATATGCGACAAACCTGTTTTTACGCGATGTGCATCTTCTTGCAGCGTCAGAAGAGTCAGACCCGATATGAACGTTTCGACATTCGCCTTCTCCGAGAGTAATATTATTTGTGGATAAAAAAAAAACGTGCGATGCAAAATGTTCAGGCGCTTAGGGGCACTGATTCGAGAATGCGAGTCGCGTATATTGAGATACGTGCAATATTCGTTATTTCTGAACAAAGGTGACACGTAATGAATTTAGCTTTTGTGACATTTATGAGATCAGCTGCGCTATAGGTGTACCGGAGGATATCCTGTGTGGCAGAAACACGAATCACACAGGGAATTTTAAGGTGTATGACTGGAGTCTGTTCACTTGCAAAATAGCATGTGAATTTATAACATAATTTTTATTATTAGCGATTGGTATTTTTGATAGCACTAAACATTCCATACATTGATGAATTCTCTTTCATTGGCGTACGTTGAAGGAAGAAGCAGCATTTTCGTATTTGTGAGAATGGGTGGAAAGCTGCTGATGAAGCGAAAATATACTCAACTACTGATGACTGTGCAAACTACACCCTTCAACCAAACTTGTTTTATTCGACGCGAGATAGTAAAACTCTTGTGTAATTATGTGAATCAGGTACTATTTTATTGCGCATCATGTAAACGGCTCTAGTCATAGCTATTTAAGAATGTTAACTTGAAAAGCTTTTGTATGAAAATTGAGCACTTTTCCGCCGCTTGCCACTAAAGCCTTTACACCGTGGAAAACTTTGCTGCCTATATATGCTCGTGCTTTATCCGCTTGCTAGTATTTGTTTGATGCCACTGCACACATGACTAGCCTGGATGCTTCTTCAGGCTGCCTTAGAACCTCGACAGACGGCAAATGTTGCGATTGATATGCGGGGTTTGACGTCCTAAATCCACCATATGATTATGACAGATGCCGTAATGGAGGGTTTCGGAAATTTCGACCACATGGGGTTCTTTAACGTGCCCCAACACGGGCATTTTCGCCTCCATCAAAAATGCAGCAGCCACAGCCGGGATTCGATCCCACAACCTGCGGGTCAGCAGCTGAGCAGCTATAGTCGCTAGACTACCGCGGCGGGGCGGCAAATGTTGCGAAGAAAAATGTTTCCAATTCCGAGATTCCGAATTCTAGGTGTCGTACAGGAGAGCTGCACCAGAGCTTGGTGACCGATCTCTTGGAGAGGGTGAGAAGGGCTATTTATACTTGTTTTATTTTTAAAAGTATGGACGCTCATATGTACTACACGCCCCTATCTTTCCAGGCATGCGCTATTCAGAAATGGTGTCTCGAGTGTTTCACTCAACGCGGCACAACCGCGGAGGGTAGCGTTAGCTGATGCCCGGAAAGAGTGGCGTATACGAAGGTGCATCGAAGCACCTTCCGGGGCGTTTTTCC